ATATAATAGTTCAAATGCAATGATAAGTTACCTCTTGAATTACGTCTCAGAAACTGTGTTGGAAATTTAAATGCTGACCCACTACATGCCATTGCTGTCACTATATCGTTGCATGTATAAAACATTTTTATCGCATGTAAGGAATTATTTCTCAGCCCAGAGACATAGCCCAAAGATTTAACCTTAACGTCTTTCTAATTTTATAGAGATAGAGCCAGAACTGAGGATTCTAGAAAGCGTTATCTGTATACCTTCTCAAAGTTGTGGACAAGATATGTTGTTTACGTCCATACAACACGCATAATATTACATAACTCAAAATGATTCGAGCAAAACGGTCTTTTGTTAAAAGGAAGACTGGTTAATAGAAATTGGTCCTTTTGAGTGACATAATCGTTTGTCGTCATCGATCCGTGTCGTTGAACAGTGAAAAAATTTGTCGTGAAATTAGTGAAGATAAAATTGCAGTTTGTGAGAAAACTGCAGGTCTATAAGGAGCGGGAACTTTTCGGATTTGAACTCAGCGTGTTCGAAAGTGTTAGTTCCCGTGAAAAGTTTTCAGTTCCAAGACATGGGAAGTGAAAATCGTTTTCTATACACTTTTCGAGGTCACAGCAAACGGCCTATTAGTCGAAAGACAGAATATTAAAATGTTTATTTTTGGAGTGATCGTTGTTTTATATTTTATTAAAATACTCAGTGCGGGTTCCCGTAATGTATATTTTACCTTCCTGTTAAAATGGTTTATGCGCGATATACCAAGTCACGGGTGACGTCACAAGTCAAGAGTGACGTCACACCAATACGAGATAATGGAATTATATTATTTCGTTTTGTTCTTTGTTTTTTAAATAATAATTTTAGCTATTTGTTTTGGATCGTCAGGCTTTTTGGCTGGTGCATTTGGAGTCCGTTTTGTAGATCATTCGGATCATTTGCTTTTTGTGGATCATTTGGATCATTTGCTTTTGTGGATCATTTGGATCATTTGTTTGCGTCGGTTGCAATTTGCCTGCTAGAGCAATCAACCGATCCATATTGCAATATTGCGTGACAATATTGCAATGTTGCTGGCAACGGAACACCGGATTTGACTGTAAAATATATGTGGGGTTTTTCGCATTTTGGTCGGACATTGAAGTCAATTCACTGTATATTACTATATTTAGTATCGATAGGGTGGATTCTTCTACTTTTTGGGTAGTGCTTTGAGTTTGAAAATTGTCTTCACTCCTCGGTTTGTCGCTAAAAAATAACTCTTCTGGACCACGGTCAAGATATCGTAAAAAGTTGCCGGCTCCTGCAGCCAATCAAATTGCAGGAAATAAAAAATATCACTAAGCATGCACAAATAAAAAAAATAAGTTGCGTTATTTACCGTTACCAAGGTGGTTATTTACCTCGACTTTTGGCCTCGTGGTAAATAATTTCCTTGGTAACGGTAAAATATTTTTCAGTATGGACCTGTCATGCAGCCGTTATTGAATTCGGCTTTTGTGATATCCCGAATTATCAAGGTCTGGTAAATGCTTTCAGTTTTGACTCGACGGATAATAATAATAATAATAATTATTATTATTATTATTATTATCATAAAAACCTCATTAAAAAACCTCCTTCAATAGCGCAACAATAAAAACTTCATTCAATAATAATACCTCATTCAATAACTGTTTAACAATTCTTTTAAGGTATAAATTCAATCGCTAAGCGTGCATTGGAATATATTAAAGAAACGAAGCTCGGCAAATCACAGAAAGAAGGGTTATTGAAACTTGCAGAAACTATGAATTCTTTGGGATTGACTGATGAAGCAAGATTGCAGTCTGTAACAATTGGAGAAATAAATTGTGTTCACAGCGAAGAGATTTCCGAACACGGAATCGAAATGCTTGCGAAAAAATTTGGAATTAAAAGTGAAAGTGCTTCGTTTAATCCAGGTATATTATACGCATATACATTTATGTGCGTGTGACATAATAATTTTTCTCATTAATTAAAAGCTATTAACACTATTTAGCAACCTCGTTCCCAGGGCTTTTCCCTTTTTTTTTTTTTTTTTTTTTTTTTTTTTTTTTTTTT